TTCTACAATAGCCATCTCACTGTTTTTTGGAGGATGTCTCTTATGTCTTAAACTTTATTTGGAGTTGGCCAATATGATTAAGTTAGGACCAAAATGTTTCTGTTAAAGAATGCAATTGGGAATTTAATGTTTTAAATGGGAGTGGGATATCTCTTTAAAAATCTTTTTATGAAAATTACGCTTTGCCTAAAGGAGAAGAGGATGCAAATGGGGAGGAGCAGGGAATACAGGCTATAGTAAATGATATATATGCAAAAAGGAAGTGCAGAAAAGACTTGTTGAATGGAAAAATCTACCAAAATTGAATTAAAAGTAATTTCCACTGTAACATTGACATGGAAAGTAGTAGTCCAGAAATAAAAAATTATTTTAAAAAACCTCTAAGGAATAAAAATGCACTGAAGGAGACTTTTTGATAGAAAACACTGTTAGTACCAGTCAGTACCAGAAAATAATCTTTTGTTTTCATTGTTTCTGTCACCACCCTAATCATTTACATCATCAGCACTCACAAAGAATCCAAACAGACACAACAGAAATTAGGCCCCAATACTGCAAGAAACTGTGTGCCTACCAAATCAGACAGTGTTTGCTAGTCTACTGGAAGTCTATTGGATTAACAGAACTTTTCAGTATTGGAAATATGCCTTTTAAACATAAAGACTTTAATTATTAAGGATACATATTTCTCTCAAGAAGCTGTGTTCCAAATATAGCTAGAAAATTAACTGAAGAAAAATAACCACCACCCCAAGATCTCATTTAACATTAAACATTGGCTTGCTGATAAGATCGTACAATGACCAAGATTTCCTTCTAGAACCCCTCCATAACCACATTTGCTGCACAACTTCAGCAAGAAAATTCTCATGCAAACTCAGAGGAAATGAGCCAGTAAGGTTCTCTAACACTGTACGTTCCAAACTGTATCTAACTATTAAAATAAATACTTTATTTAATAACATGAATGAAACAATTGCATCACTCAGAAAACAGACTTCTGACACTTAAAATTGCTGAGCTGAATTTTTCTCATCCTACCTTGAAAATTGTTGAGACCATAGTATATAACTTGGCTGTAACTTTAATGTGAATAATTCCAACACGTATTACATGTAGCAGTTTAATATTAGACTTTTATGAAGATATGTATTTTTTTATATTCTACTTTAATCTAAAACACTGTATTCTGCCAATAAGTCATTTCAACCAAAAAGAAAAAATACCAGGATTTCAAAGGCCCTTTATATCTTCATGTCACAACAAAAATGAGCATTATTGCAAAACCATAGCTTCATTTGCAATCATTAGCAATTCTTCCTGCATGGGGCAGAAAGGGGGGGAACCAGTAACTCTGTGTTCCAAGATAGGGAAGAATCCGTTCATAACACAAACATCAAGTTTCTGGAATCATCAGGAATACTCAAGAGGGAAAACAAAACAGCAGCAGCCCACCTCTGAGAAACAAAACTGCCTGAAAATGTTACTCAAATTTCAATGTTTGCAGCTCACCTGTACATGAAATTAGGTTTGTTCTGCAGAGGCACTCAACTCTATGACCACACTAAACTTTGACAGAAAGTATCAGTTTCTCAGTGTGCCTAGACAGTGCCCTTAGTTTTGAAACCAGACTAAAATTGCTTCATATTAAGTAATCATTTATACCTTTACAACACAGGAAACCTCGTGTTTGGGGGTGTCTGCATACATGCACCTTCACATCCCTTTTCAATTAAGACTTAGCATAAAATAATACATTTTAGAACATACACCATAAAGGCTGAAGGTCAATAAAACTAAACCCGTGTTTTTCACACTTGAATTGGGCATGACAACATTAATCTGCTTGTGGTGTTCCTATGTTCAAGGAAGTGACTTGATGTAAATTCAAAAAATCCTAATCCTATTTTCTTGAAAGGACTAAGAGCCCTAAGCCATGGCCCAAAAATGAGCTTACTGATAAAATGTGTTCAAAATAACGCAAATAGGATTATAGTTTACCTTGAAATATTAAATCATTCTAATGGCTGTAACAACTGGACCAACAGAGGCATCATTACCACTAATTAAACTTGTGCAATTCCAAGACTATAAGGGATACTTAAATTGAAATGGTAACACTCCCTTTCAGCAGCAACTGTCCCAAAGAGGTAATTTTTTATGAGTGTGACTCTGGGATAATAAAATAGAAAGCAAGATGAATCACTATCATAGGAAAATACACACATTAACTGAAAACATTAACAGCTAAAAGAATTTACAATTTAACCTGATCCCTCCACTTGCCTGAGCTTTAAGACTACCAAAATCATCTTTATTCACATAAAAATATCAAATGGTAAAATAACTTTTCAATACGCTATTCTAGTAATTTTGTCATCTTGCCAGAAATACAGGCCATCCCTAACCACGGCCAAACCAGTTTTCTTTAGTAAAGTTAGCAGATCAACCATATGAAACAAAAGTTATATCACCCTGAAGACTCCCAAAGTTTGCAAGAGAAGTGCTACAGTCAATGACAAGTAAATAGAACCATGCAACCCTAATGTAAAAGTGGTAACTAGGTAACCTCAATAATTCTGATCAGGGACATCAAAGCAATGCATGTGCTTGCAGGATTAAGGCTTACATTAGGGAAGATGCACGTAACTCCCAGACTACTGGACTCTCACTGTATTTGCATTAAAAATTGCATAGAAGCATGTTTTTAACAGAAAGCATTTAGACATTAGTCCTAATAAAGTGTAATGCTTACTGCACTTGTTAGCATACTCTACTACTGTATGTTCCTTTACTACGAGCAATGCAAATCAACCATGAAATTAAAGGAAGCTCCCCTAGGCTCACCCTGGCATTCCCTCTCCCCTGGGCTTTCCCAGCAACTCCTGGCCTTCATTTACCAGTTTAAAACCACCTGCACTTACAAATCGAGTTGGACACACAGAATGATTTTAATTAAGGCCAGCACGATTCTGAAGGGCAAGCTACTCTAGAAAAACAACTCCCTGACAAACTGGTGGAGGTCAGAATTCCTTTCGTTCCCACCCCCATGTTTTACGTTCGCAAAGCACCGCGCACAGCAGAGCCGCAGAGCCCCAGACCCCACGCTCCGGCCAACCAAACTAAATTGTGAGTCGAAAGGCCCCAAGACCTTTGCCCTGACACGTCCTGCGGCCCAAGACAGCGACCCAGCACAGAGCACCGACACCCCACACACAACACGTCCTGCTTTGTGCACCGCCCTACCCAGCAGCTTCGGCCGCCTGAAGGAAAGGCAAAGAAACACCCGCTCGGCAGGGAAAGCGGGGAAAGAGAAATCCTCCCAAGGGAACAGCAACATGGGGAAGCCCGCAGCGCTCCGCAGGGAGCCAGCCCGGCGGGCCCCGGCTCAGCCCCACGGGCCCCGCGGCCCAGGCGCTCACCTGGCAGGTAGTCCGCCTTGAAACGCCGCCTCGTCTCGCTGACCAGCGCAGCCCTGCTCTGCCGCTGCTGCTGCTGCGGG